AACTTAAAAAGGTACATACATATTGATTTATTCTAATCATGATTTCATTTTGTTTTGAGTTTTATTTTTTCTATATTTATCTTTTCTAAATTGATAAACAGGCTACGTTGGGAGACATTGAAATAATATATGATGTTTGTTGGATGTTGACGCCGTCTCAAATTCAAAAACTTATAAGCCATTACTTTGTGGCTGACTATGAGGTAATTAAAATTATGTTAAGTAGAAAATTTTGCTATTGAATACTTATACCTTATTATTTTGTATAGAACCCAATTAGCCCTGAGATTTTGAAAGCTGTCGCAAGTCGAGTAACTGCGAATGATAGGAAGGATATTTTATTGCTTGATACAACACCTTTGGAAGATTCGGGTCCGTTTGAAGTCCCTCTTCCGCGTGAAGTGCATCCTCCTGATAACTATGTACCGGCATGGTATGATTTCTAACTTTAATTTCTTTCATTATTTCACGATTTTTATTAATTTTTTTTTTATTTTTTATTTTTTTGACAGGCTTGATTTACCACACATTAGACGGCTTGGGGCTTTATCGACTTAATTTGCTAAAGAGTATACCTGGATATTTTTAAGAATTTATATTATACGATGTAATTTAAATAAATTAAATGAAATATTTTGTTTTGTGTTTCAATTATTAATTAAACATATATTTATTTATATAAATAACATTAATACCGGTATAAGCACAGCTTTATTACTAATAAAAGATTTATAGATATACATAACGAAAATTCTATTTTGATCCGGGTCACAGTAACCCCTATACTGTATTAACAATTTTAACTATTAGATTATTTTAAGACTTAGTAAATTCTCTTTGATCTGATATTAACCTTAAATCATCTCAAGCAATTTTCCTGCAAATTGTCACGAGTGATCTGTGTTTGACCTAACAATATTAGATTATATTCTATGTTGCATCATATCGATATTTTAAGTTTGACAGGAGGGATAGTAGCTTTGGATCAATTCTTTAACTTACAGGGGTTGTAAGATACAACCTTAGATTTCTTAAAAACTATATGGTAAAGATTGAAATGTTAAAGAATATACCGTATATTTAATATAAATGACTTTTTTTATATGTATAAATTTGAGTATAAAAAAAATTTGGATCCTAAAGCGAATCTCGGCAAACAATAAATTCAAATTTTATTATATATATAGTTTTTAAATTGAACTTTTTTTTTAAAAATAGCCGTATAATCGTGTAACAATGTCTGTTAAATAGAAATTAATTTGCAGTATTCATTGATGTATGTGACTATTGGTGTTATTTTTTTATATATGAAAAGAACACCCAGCGCATAGCAAGTGTTAAAATGGTAAGTAGCTGTTTATAAAATTCCTTTTAAAAAAAGCTAATTCGGACGTTATTAATAAATAGAAAGATAGAGAAGAAAAAGAAAGAGAACTTCAACAATACTATTTTCGCGTCAAACGACATAAAAGTACGTTATTTGTAACAGCCAATGGAAATGATAAGATTTCTCAACTGAAGAAAGACATCTTAAAACAACTGGGTATTGACATAAAAATAAAGTTGTATAGAGCAGATAATAGTAACCCACCTAATTTTACTAGCTTGGAACCAACCCAAAATGGAGAGGATCCTAGTATAGCAAAACTTGGTTTAGTAGATGAACAAATATTATACTTAGTTTTTTGGGACGATAAAAATGGTAATTCACAAAAAGTATATTAAAGTATATATATATATTTATATAATAATTAGATGAAATTTAATTTTCAATACAGGAAGGTTTGAGAATGTCTCTTTTGAATTACCAGAACCTTTACCTGATGAAGAAGACGATGATGAAATTGAACCTGTAGACTATACATGTGACTGAAACTTTTAACGGTTTTGACGAAACCGAAAGTCGGAAACCCTGATTCGAAACTCATGCCGAAATCTGAAACCCTTGCCGAAACCCAAAATTTAGCCGAAATTGATTTTTATAAAATTGAACCCGGAAGTGAATATTTTTTAAGTTAGTGTGAAATTTATTTTGAAAGACACGCAGCGTAGCGAATTAAAATTTATTTCACTATTTTTTAACTCCGATTGTTATGTGCTAATAAAATAATCGAGGAAACAAAATATATACCACATAACATTAAAGTTTTATTAAATTTTCCTTGGTACATTATCTTGCACCATCGATAAAGTGAATGTATACAAGCATTACTTTAAAAACATTTTTGGCCAATGTTTTTGTTAAACAGTATCTAATTGCATTATATTATATATTCTGGCCCACCATAATCTGTTTAAAATTAAAATATTAGAAAAAAATTTATTAAAAAAAAAAAAAGATTAATCATACTGTATATGGGACTGCCTACAGCAAAAGCAGGGGATGGGACTATATAATATATAGTCCCATCCCCTGCTTTTGCTGTGGGCGTCCCAATATATGTAATTTGTGGTTTTATCAAAAATTTAATTTTTCATTAATGTATTTCTAGTTAATGTTTTAATATTAAAATCAGTGTTGTGAATCTAATTTAATAGTTTCTTGAACTAACTGTTATTTTATTATTTGCTTTTTGGTTTACATTAAATATTTGCAACCCAATATTTATGCTATTCATAATATTTAAAGTATACATCTTG